TAACGTTAAAAAAAGTGAAATCGCAATCAACCAACCCTTTAAAGAAAGAAAGCAATGTTTTGATATGACAATTAAATATAAATTATACTATATATTATACATAAATGTTGCTCTGTTGGGCTGGTTGGCATGTTCAAACAAACAAAACAATGTCTTGATATGACAATTAACTTAATATTATAAATATAAAATATATATAAAAATATATAGGCCTAATACTTTGCTCTGTTGGGCTGAGATAAAGCAAAGTTTTCATATGACATTTAAATATGTAGTATAAAAATATAAAGTATATTGAACAGGCTAATCAAAAAAAACAAAAACAAAATTAGAAATGATATGACCATTAAATATACATATTGAAAAAAATACATATTTATTAATTAAATTATATATACATACATACATACATACATAGGCCTACATATACATATATTAGATTAGATTATCTTTATATTTGTATTAATATATATATATATATATATACACACACACGTTAAAAATCTACAATATAATTGAATATATAATAGTTTATACTTTTTTATAATAAAAATAATTTATAATATATTTTAATAGATAACATTTTATATATCAATATATATATTATATTTAGCATTAAAAAAACAATTACATACTTCATCTTTAAGGACACAAAACTCAAACTGACTTCACCAGACTGATATAACCAAGGAAATATTTAAATGCTATAATGCTTCTTCTGTAGAAATACTATGATAAATCATAGAGTATTTATAATAAATACTATAAATATTATAATAGAGACTCATACATTTAAAAAAGGTCACATCAGTGTTTTGTGAACACTATTTTAGGCACTAGAAAATTTAATGAAACAATGTCAAAACATCAGACTTGCACTATATAATTGCCTAACCTTGTAAATATATCAATAAAACAAACCTAACCTTGTTAATACATAAATAAAACAACACTGGCACGAAAAAGAAAATCATCACAATTAGGGCTGCACGATAAATCGCATGCGATATTTAACGCGCATCTTGTCAGAAAGCCGGTTCTGTAATCAGCGGTAAATCTCCATCACCTGCGGGCTTTCTGTGTAGTTAATGCTGCTCAATGTGAAAGCCCGCAGGTGATGGAGATTTACCGCTGATTACAGAACCGGCTTTACTGATAAGATACGCGTTAAATATCGCATGCGATTTATCGTGCAGCCCTAATCACAATCAAACAAACAGGATTGTGGGGTATCATAAGCAGTGAGGTAGGTATACATCTACTGCATACTTACTACCTTTAAACATTTACCAGACAAAGGCATCCTAACTTACTGTGTTACAAGACCAATTTATTCAGACATTTCAGGCATCAAGAGCACAGCTCTCATTTGAGAACAAAAGGAACAGCATCAGACAACCCAACACCACGAGTACAACAGAGAATGATTTGATTGGTTCAAAGAAACAGACAGACCGAGACAAAGAGATGAAAAAAAAAAAAAAATGAGAGCTGGCGAGCGGGGAATTCTGTTTGGTCTGGTAGGCTTTGGGTGCAAAACAAAGCATGTCACCCAGTATCCGGCCCTCCCTCATTACTGGAACAGACAAACCGTCCAGTGGTCCATTTTCTGCTCTCTTTCACCTTCTCTGTTCCAGTAAAGGCTGAAAGCACCACTCCCTCTCAGGACTCACTGGACTAGACAAAATCCAAACCTTCACCACACTGTATCCTTCTACTGCCTCAAAATCCAAAGAGATAATAAAACAGAACTATAAACCAGTAAAACAACTGTTATTCCTGATAACAGTGTCATCTACACTGACTTCATCTTTATCAGAAATCAAATCAATGCCAAGCCTGATTCAGTGCTTTCACAACAAACACAGAAGTGAAGACATCTGTGCTTCACATTCCTGTATGTGTACCTCACTCGATTAGCCCAAAATAAGGCTACAGGCTAGCATGACTCAGCCAGACAGTCTCAAACGCCCTCCACAGTGGACAGAGACTAAAGACAGTATGAGGAGGAGGAGCTACTTTAGCATCCCCAACACTGCTACTTTTAACATTAGCTTCCCAAGCTACTCATAAGCTAACAAGACAAAGCAGCTCACTATATTGAAGCTGTTAGGGGCATATATCTTTAAATGCATAATTAACAAAGGGTATACTGTGTTTTTACAATTGGAGTTATAGAGTATTTATCTGGCACAAAAGCAATAAAAAAAAAAATTTAATTAGGGTGACAGCATTACATGTGAATATACAATTTACATCAAGTACAACTAACAAAAAATAAAAATAAATACATACACCTCACACATATACAGTGGGTACGGAAAGTATTCAGACCCCCTTCAATTTTAGGCTATATACACTACCATTCAAACGTTACAAGGCCAGTAAGATTTTTTTTATGCATATATCAGATGAAAAACAGTAAAAACATTAACATTGTGGCATATTGTTACAATTTGTGACATGAAACACTGAATCAAGCATTTGCTTTGAAACAATCTGTATTGTGAATAATGCTATAATGTTTTAGAAGGTTCAAAAGAACAGCATTTAAAAATGGCTTTACTGTCACTTTTGATCAATTTAATGTGTTGTGGCAAGTTAAAAGTGTTAATTTCAACAAAAAAAATGAAAATAAAATAACAATAAAAAATACATAAAATAAATTAATAAATAAGTAAACAGTTACTGAGTCCGCCCGGTATAAAGAAAGAAAGAAAAATAAAATGCAGTAGGTAAAACATTAATTCTTCTTTATTCTAATTAATTCTTAGTTAAAAGAGTCCGACAGAAAAAGGTCAAAGCAAAAATATGACTGCTATCGGTGCATGAAATTAGTCCAACTTCACAAAAAAAGTCTGTTGTGATTTCACCTAAACTATTGCATTTACATGATTTTCAAAAACATATATATTTTTTTTAATTCAGGCTGAAAACAAACTTTCAAAGTGTATGTAAACATATTGACAGTGTTACGGGAACAACACTCTGGGGCAATCGACTCTTTCTTTTTCTCTCTCTCCCACACACTTTGTCCTCCTTTTCTAAGCAGTGAGAGGGCTGAGGAGGTGGACGCTTATCTGAGCGCATGGAAGGTTAAACAAACAGCTGTTTGAAGTGCTACTAATTTAGCGGTGCAGAAACGGTCTGTACCAGCTCAGCACAAAATCAGGCCTCCATTACCAAACACTATACACTCTCACCACACATACATGTACATGTGTGAATATATAATGGCTCTTAAGCAGTGTAACACCAAAATTACATTGACACACTATTTAGAGACACAAGTACTCACATACAATTTCAGCAGTGCCAGACTAAGGGGAATTTGGTTACAGGGAGAACATTTGGTTACAACTACTTGTTTATGCAGTACACTAAGTTTCTGGTGATTCCTTTCAAAAGTACAAGAGCGATGTGGTGTTTCCTGTGTGTAAATCATAAAACTTCTTTTAAAATTGATGTTTTGCATTTCTTTACAGTGTACTATATGTAATGTTACACAGATTCAGGACACAGAATGGTTAAATGTTTAGTTTCCGACACTTTGCTGCACAAGCTGCAGGCCTGTGTTTCTTCACACTTTGCAGAAGTTTATCTCCAAAGAATGGTTCATTGTGTAAACTGCATGGATTTCCCCTCATAGAAATCAACACCTTTTTTCAAATCCTTCTTTCATAAGCAATGAGCGTATCAGCCGGAGAGAATGCTCTCCTTCTGCCCCACTTTACTCCAGTCATTCTTAACAAGCTTTACTGTTTTAAAGAATTAGTTCAGATTTAATTGTTTTATTGGTGTGAGTAGCTGATTAGGACCTGAGCTGGTAACTGAAAGGATGCAGGTTTGAAACCCTAAGCATTTGATCCATCCTATAGACGCCAACCCAGTAGGGCTGGACAATAATTCAATATCAATATGTATCGCGATATAATTTTTTTCAATAACGGTGATATGATTTTTAAACACATTTCCGATATTTCGATATACATTACCAGTTTCCCATACATTGATTTATTTGTGCCGTTTGACTTCGTTGAATAAACATGAGCACTGCACGTTTCAAATATATCGTGATATCAATTTTGGCCATATCGTCCAGCCCTACACTCCAGTCAGAGAAGATGCCGAAATTAAAGTTAAATACAAATAAAAATATTGTAAGTGACAGAAATCTGTTTAATGCCATATTGTACATGGGTCTTAAATCCACTAAATTGAAAATACATTTTAAAAAAAATGTAAATTGTGTGACCTAGGATACAATTCATTAGTTGAATATTACAATATTAGTTGAACTTTTTTCCCATAAAAATTTCAATATTTGTGTAAAATTATTTAGAATTATTTTATATTATTTAAATTTTATTACTATATTGTTCTATTATATAAATTGTTACACAAATTGTGACTGTCTCTAAGTTGCATAATTTCTGCCATGTCCAACAATTTTACATTTACATTTAATAATTTAGCAGATGCTTTTATCCAAAGCGACTTACAGATGTGGACAATAGAAGCAATCAAAACCAACAAAAGAGCAATAATATGCAAGTGCTATAACAAGTTTCGGTTTTTTTTTTTTATAAAATATATATATGCCCTTAATTAAGTTTTAGAAGTATCAGTGAGGAGCTTAAGATTAAATATTTTCTTCACAAATCATAAAATAATTAATTATGACTTGTGAACAGAATAGTTTTATTTCCAATCAAGGTGTAATATTGTCAATTATGCAAAAAGTGTGGAAATACTGAATTGACACTTCGCAGTGAGTTTGACTGACAGGCGATCTGACCAATCATAACGCCGAATCTGCCATGTTTGTCCGACAAACAAACCAGACAGGAGAGTATATTAATGTCAATGGACTTGAACTTGAAAAATAGTATTGACCTCTTTCCGCGGTTGAAACAAGACACCTTCTGATGTTCATTCAGGTTTATTTTATGCTATAACTAGTAAAGAGGAAGAGATGATCGGTTCACCTGCCGCTTGAACATGATCTGTCACAACACATTAAAGAGCCACAAAACAGTATTTACTGTTTGAATTTCTTAAATGACAAACTTTGAAAGCTGAGACTTTGTTTCATATTAAAAGTAACCTGCTCTGTCTTGTCTGTCGGCGCGTTGTCAGTTTCCTCTTTGCTCCGTGATGTATACAAAATTAGCCTTAGCAAGAAAAAATCGTCTGTCATTTTATTCCAAAAATGTCATAATTTAAAGTTAAAATGTCACTTCCACCATCATATACAACATAAAATACTATTAAACACAATACAACATTTGAGAAGTGGTGGAAATGTTCACCATGTCTTGTCTAAAAGACTACAGGGCCAAAAGTGCTCATGTCTGAAGAATCAGTGTGAATGTGTGTGTATGTGAGAGAAAGGGTAAGGATTGAGCACTTCCACTTAAGATGAGCTGTCTGGCTACTAGGTGACGTGAGGCCTCCATGTCAGAGAACAGAGAAAGCAGCCTGTTAGATGGAGCAACTACAGCATGAAGTAAACAAAGAACCGAAAAAAAAGAAAAAGGAAACGATTGATGAGCAGGGAGGTGGGAAAGCCACAATCATTTTTCAAGTCTAAAGGGAACCTCCATTATTTCTAATGTTGGCACCTACTTGGCCTTTCTCTCTCACACAGACGCGCTTATCTCACCACGTCCAGCCTCACGCACGAGTCAGCTGCTTTCCAAACTACCAGGAAGACCTCATATTACACTCCTGTCTGTCTCTTCATCAACCCCCCCAAGTTCACTTCCTGTTTCAATTAGATGCACTATACAACATCAAAACACTAATGCAGTTCAGCTTTACTGCATAAACTGTATTTACTGTTCAGTTGCATGGATCAGAGTGGAAGGGATCCGACTGTTATTCTGAAATATTTCTGAGTCGTTCTCATTGGTTTAGTCTCCATCGGAGACACAGGGTGTGAAACTAGGCTAACTCTACTGAGCTCCTTACACAATGGTGCTAATGCTTCTTAACATAGCAGCTAAAGAAAGCCAGGAACCATGAGAGCTTTGATAAGACATCAATCGCTACAGAAAACCTAAATGGAAATGTTAAATACTTGACTGTTAAAAGTTTAGGGTCAGTAAAAAAATGTGTTTATTTTATTCAGCAAGGATGAAATGCATTTAATAAAGTGAAAGTAGACATTTATAATGTTACAAAAAATCTGTTTCAAACAAATGCTGTTCTTCGAACTTTCTATTCAAAGAAAAAAATGTAAATGATTCCAAAAAATATTAAGCTGTTTTTAACATCATAATAAAAACAAGACTTCTGAAGGATCATGTGACACTGAAGACAGGAGAAATGGCTGATTATAAAAATGTAGCTTTGCTTTCACAGGAATAAATTACACTTTAAATAGAAAACAGTCATTTTAAATTGCAATCATATTTCACAATATTAATCTTACAAACCCAAAACTTTTCAGTGATACTCTATTGTTTTCCTAATATACAATGGGGCCCAAAATTCTGAAACCACACTGATTTTTTTTTTTAACCATGCAAAAATGAAGTATGATATTCTAAAATTTGTATAACTTTTTCCAATTCAACTTTTCACTCAAATTGCAATTCTCATCATATAATTTCTTGATTTTTTCCCCTGCATTTTCATGGTCTGAGACTTGGAGTGCAAATTGTAAATAAGAACTACTGTACAAGTTGGAAAAAAAAAATCAGTTGAGTCCTCTGCTAACATTACCACTCCATTTCCTGATGACACAAACTAGCTTCATGCACACATACTCATCCTAGTCTGCACACACTTAATGTGGCATGTAATAGGAGACAGTGGCGGCTCGTCGGGGGAGGCAGAGCTTCCCCAAAAATTTGAGGTGAAAATAGGAGGAGGACGATTAAATGTTAATAAAATTCACAATTCATTTCAGTTCATGTCTCAGAATGTGTATTTTTTGTTTGTAATTTCACAGCTGTAATACCATAACATGCTACTGAAGTTGGAAAGCGTCGCTTTTCTATTGCGAATGTGCCGAATCTGCTGATGTATTTACAACCACTAGTGATAGAGAAGGGGAGGGGGAGGCCTCCGTTGGTAAAAACAATCAGCATCGAGTGTTCACTTTCAGCGCTGAGGAGTGTTGAGAAAATAAACCTCGTAGGGGAGGCTAGCCTCCCTTCTGGTATATCAACCAATCATCATAGAGACGTAAATTACGTGATATTAGTTTGAACGTCTCCCGCTGCATTGATAATGTACCAAGTACTTATGAGTAGCGATATTGAATATTTGATCGCCAACAGATTTACCAAGCTGTCATTCAAACAGTATATATACAAATTAAAAATAAAGGGAGAACACGTCTGAGATGGATATAGGCTAATGTTACAGCAGTCGGCTCTTTTAACACAGACTTTTAAGAAGGGATGGATGTTTGCTTCAAGTGATAGGCCAGGTAAGTGAAATTATATTATCTTGCTGTATGTGTGTCATTTTATTTTTACGTTTTCTGACTAAAAGCAACCAAAAAGCCATTTTAAAGTGGTTAAGCAAATAATAATAATAACAACAACAACAACAATAATCGGGATCCCCAGACCAATACAATTAGTGTGCCTCCTCTATTTTAAAACCCACGAGCCGCCTCTGATAGGAGAAACCTTATAGGGATAGTAGACACAAAAATTAAAGTTCTGTCATCATTTACTTACTCATTTCAAACCTATACGACTGACTTTCTTCTGTAGACCACAAAAGACATTATTTTCAAAAATGTGTGTTTTTTTTTGTCCTTATAATGAAAGTCAAAGGGGTCCAGTGCTGTACTTTCATTGTACGGACAAAAATAGTTTCAATATTATTCAACCTATCTTCATTTGTGTTTCACAGGAAAAACAGGTGTGTGTGTATGTTGTGTAAATGACATGAGAGTGAATAAAAGATGACAGAATTTTCATTTTTGGGTGCTTTGAACAGAGGAAGACTTGGATGAATGTCTTTGTTGCGTTTGAATAAAAGAAGTAGTGGCAAAATCTGAAGCATGTTTTTGAAGGCCTATGAAGGAGACAATTTACACTACTGCATTTTAAAGATCCCTTTATAACTTAAAAAAATAAGCAGAACCATTTCTGTGCATACTTGAGAGCACAGACAGCCCCTTCTAGCTCCCTGCCTGAGACTATGGGGAAAAAAAAGTCAAGCATTCTTGGCAAGCGACGCAAGAATGTGCTGAGATTCGGAATGATTTGAGTTCTCAAGGGGGCTGTGCATTTTTTCATCCACTGCGTGGTTCAAACAGACCTCCTGTCTTTCCAACATTCCGACAATAGGCTGAAGCGTGCCATCGTAATATTGCACAGAGCAGCAGTGCCGTTAACAAACGCTGGGTGAATTCAGCACAGTGCTGTCTTCTTCTCCTCTTTTTTTCACACCCTTGTCTGATCTTGCACCCCAGAGACCCAATAACTCAATAACACAAAACAGAAAGCTGAGCACAGTTTTTGCTGGCGTTCAGCAGAAAGGTACCTCCTCTTGAAAGATACAGCCCAGTAACACAAGAAAGAGCGCATTTATCCTATAATGAAATTCTGTTTGCATTTCAACCCTTGAGTTGTAAGATATGAGAGGTTTGGAAGCTATTTCTTCTCATATAATTATTCATTGTATGGAGTGCAAACAGATAATTGCCACAGAACGCCAGTAGCAAATCGAAGAGTGCTCATCAAAAACACAGTTCACTGGAAAATGACAAAAACAGGTCTGAGATCACTGAAGAATCCTTAGATCCTCATGTGCATTGTGTGTTGTGTTTTAATTTTTGTTTTTTAAATTCATTTATAATCATTTATTCACATAATCATTAGTCATTCATATTATGTATTATTTGATTATTTTTATCATTATATTATTTAAGTATTTTTATTGTTTATTCATTCAGTATGTTTATTAATTTATTATATTTCTATATATTATATTTATTTTTAATTTTCCCTAGCTTATGCATTTTCATTGTTGTTCAATCTCATGCTTGTGGGGTTTCATGAACTGTTTTGTCTGTATGAATAAGAGATGGATAAGAGGGAATGTTTATGGAAACCCAAGGTTTATGGGATGTTGCTGTGAAGCAGTTTTGGTATAACAGTACATGTTGAATTTGTGCTGGTCAGACGAAGTTTGAACATTGAGACATACGCAACTAAGATTGTTCAATAAACAATCACTTCGTCTCCTGCTCTCCTCGGTCAACTTCTTGACTGACAGAAGACTGTTAAACACTCATTTTGGGTATCAACAGCTCTGCTGACTAGTTGTTCTGTTACTGGACAAACTGATATTTTCTGACGGGATCTGGCATCTGGGGCTGGATCCTAATTATTATCTGGCGTGGAGACCCGGTCTAACATCACCATAACTCTACGCCAATCATGACACATTTAACACTACCTAGAAATGTTTCATCAACAGGCTTCTATAAGCTATTTTATAAACTGTGGTTCTCCTCGGAGTCAATCTCCTGGCCCATCAGAACATTCAGGCTGTTTCCAGACGACTATGTGGAGGAGGAAGTGGCAGAACGCTGTTAGTACAGCTGATAAGCGCAAGGAGTACAGCACAAAACATCTGCCCACCATCTACCTTCTGCTTTCATTGGGTGGTTGCTTCCACTCCGTGTCAATCAGCATCTAGATTATGCAGCCAAAATTGAAACCAAGACCGAAGAGAATGTTCTAAACTTCTGGAGGAAGGTTTTGCATAACAAGATTTATAAGACAGTTACGTCACATAAGTTCTGAGGAAATTACTGCATGATTGTTTGAGATACATATGTGATTACCTATTATTTGGAACCTGCAGGGCCGATGGTGGCTTACTAATGGGGAACCACAGTTTGTTGCTGTCTTTTTGTAAAGTGGATAAGATCAATACACATCTAAGAGGACGTAACAGCCTTCACAACAAACATGACAGAGCCTGAACTTCCTCTCAGTTCAGTGCATATGCACAGTATAAATGACTTTGCAAAACACAGTAGTGACAGTATATACAATGTTTGCTTATTGTGCACCGATTATTATCTGTTTAAATGTTCTTTGTTTCACCCAACACAAAGACACCCTGTCAAACCCAGCTCCCATGGAAGAGTTACAACATGCCAACATGAGATGAATGTCTTCCTTTTAAACAAAGTAATATGCAGCATGACATCATTTTAAACAACATGATCTCATGACTTAAACTTCAACTGATTCCACATGTCCATAAAAATGGGAAAATCCCCTACTTTCCACCCTTTCTGACTCTAAGACAATGTTGGAAACCTTATGAAAGCCCCTATGAAAGTTTGCAGAGACCCCAAGCCCCCTGGTTGCCCTAGTACAGCGATTCCCAACCAGGGGTATGTGTACAGCAGGGGTACTTGGCAAGATTTCAATTAAAGCTCTTATAAAACTGCTAATAAATCAAAACAAACATGAATCTTTTCTTTTGATATTTGAAGGAAAGAAAACACAAGTTCTATAAATACTGAAAGGACTAAAAAAAGGGTTGGGAAACACTACCCGGGAGAATAACATCGCTATGACGTCACAATCGCAAACAAAGCGCGTCACATTCAGAATCGTTACTTTGTCGCAATAAAGCTGGTGCTGGTGAATCAACACGCCACGGAGGCGGCAGTAAAAATTAAATAGCAGGCTGACCATCTGTCTGGACGGTCTGACGTGAATTGTAGGCCAAGTTTATGTCGAACAAAGAGGATTTTTTTTTTCCGTATATTAGTATGCATTTGTTTTTTTTAAGATATCACAGATCATGATTTTGATATGTTTATATTAAAAAGCAGGAGCGTGGACTCGAGGCACGGTGTATTTTAGTCAAAAGGTAAGTTTCTTTGTTTATTCTATAGGTTTTTCATTAGCTTACCTGATATGGAGGTGGCGGCTCCTGATCCGGATCGTTGGCGTCACCAAAACTGGCCCTGTCTGACTGTGATTCTTGGAGCAAGGAGATATCATCCGAAGTGGGAGATTTCAGACAATTCCCCATCTCCTTTCCAAACTCCTTGTTGTCTAAATGTTGAAATCCTGTCTATCCCCTGCTTTCTGCCCTTAATAACTCCAACCAGAGTTCCGCCCTTTTAAACAGGATGACTAAATCTCTATCATTCATTTAAAATGATCCGATCATCATGAGAGATCGTGACGGAGAAAAACAAACCATTGTCGACACACAAAGAACCCTGGCAAAAAGTGTCAGACACGGATATGAAACGATGTTTTTGTAAACACATACAATCTAAACCTGTCAAATACGTCTATTTGCCCTGAAGCCGTGGTATGTAGTGTTGTCCTTTTCTCCTCGTCTCAATAATAGTAAACACTGGTTAGCCTTCAACGGATAATTTCTACGATATCAAATATGCGCTCGCTCTCAATGGCGACTCAGGCAATGTTGCCTTTCAGGCAGTCATTCTAAGTCCCGCCTCCGGGTTGGTTGGACCAATCAGCAGGTGTCTTCTTTAGTAAGGACGTTATTAGTGGTTATTCGTCACCCAATCAGATCGCCGATTTACAACACCAACAACAGGGGGTTTAAAGCCTGTAAACTTGACCGCATTAGGCTGATTTAAAGGCATAGTTCGCTCTATATTGAAAATTCTGTTGTAATTACTTAACTTAATGTTGTTGCGAAAACCCACTGCCCCTTTTTTTGTGGAACAATAAAGGAGACATTAGGCAGAATGACAGTACCCAGTCACTATTCACTTTCATAGTTAACCTTAGGTAAAACGATGTGATGAAAACGAATGGCGACTTTTTTTTAAGCGAAGTTTTAGTAATTTTTTTTATGTGTATCTGACATTTTTTTTACATTAATGTTTTTGTTTTTAAAATATTTTTATTTAGCTTTTTTCAGGTTTAGTTTTAATAATTTTAGTGCTTTAACTTAACCATTTTATTGCAGTTATACATAAGTATTTCAGCTATTTATATTTTATTTTGTTATACATGTCATGTGAGTTTTATTTTATTAAAACTATTTTTAATAGATGTGGTTTTAGTTAACAGTAACAATGCTGGCATTAACTATTACAGATGAATACAGTGCAGCCAGTATGTTTTTATTGATTACAATGTGCCGGACTAGTTTTATTTTTGTAATATAATTTTAAATCACCCTTTTATGTTTTGAAGACATGAAGATTCATCAGAAATATAGGACTACATTTTTTTTTTTTTTTTTTTTTATATATTAACCCTGAACAAAAGGAGATGTTCGGCAGGATGTAATGTAGATTGACAGCCTCATTCACCTTCATTTTTCTTCCATACAATGAAAGTGAATAGCAACTGAAGCTGTCATTCTGCTAAACATCCCCTTTTGTTTTTAATGGAAGAAAATCAATGATGACAGAATGTCGGTTTTTGGGTAGACTGTCTTCTATGGAGCCAGGCCCCTTAGATAAAAAAAGGAAAACAAAAGTGGTTTTGGAGTGCTATCATATCATTTAATTTTAAATTAGAAAATGTAAATTCAGTATTTACAGGAATGTGTTTACACAGTAGCCATGCACCATACACAGGATTTGCTGACCTCTATAGCCCAAAGCCTGTAAAATCAATCTAAATCAGGAAGAATTTCAATGAGGGAGAAACATAAGCCATTACAATGAAAAACCCATATATCACTCGTTTTCAAACATTCTGTTTTGCCACATTTGAAACACAGCATGTTACAAATTGCCTGTGAAATTTCTGAGCAAACACAGCATGAGCAGATGATTGTTTTTGCTTAATGTAAATTTTACTTTGGTAGAACTGGATCTCATAAAACAGGCACTATACAGATTACATTGCAGAAGAACAAAAATCCATGGATACATTTCAACTAATCTGGGGTAAATTACTATAAAACACACAAGCCTTGAAGTGCAGGACTGTCTGATTAGAACTAAATCTGAAAATACACTGCAGCTATGTTTAGTAGGTTGAACTCCAGACTACAGGGAAAAGCTCTATGAAGTAGCATTCATATATTGAACAAAGTACAATCCTCTGTCCTGAACCAGCTCAAATTGTCTTTCTCTTCGTAGTGCAAGGTTGTAGTGGTTGTCAATGCATCCCTCACGTTGGCTGGAGCTGGCATGCCAGCCTGTCCTGCATGTATCTAAAAGACTCGTTTGTTTGAGCTCAAGTACGATCTGGACCAAGTCCACATGAAGGAGACTGCCTTTCTAAAAGACACATTCAGCTGCCCACTTAAAACGGGACAATTTTGAAAGGCGCCATAACAGTGAATAAATACTAAAAAAGAAACTAAACCCACAAAACTTCCAGTTTACATTCTGATAGTCCTTTTTTGCTGCTACGAAGATGCTTGTTTTCTCTCTTTTTAACACATTGCTAAAACAGACTAATTATGTACACAGAAACACAAAGATAATGTTATATGATACAAATTAAGCTTAAACAGGAATCCTGTCCATGAGATTTGACAAGGCCACAGTACTCTAACCAAAGAGTAGCCCATGATATCAAAACTTACGTTCATCATATCACCTCCAGACAATAGGCTTATTTCATAACCTATTTATACTCCAAAGATTAAAAGTAAACTAATATTTGTGCACATGTGCTTTAAATCCAAATCCAAAATTTAGCCGTAAGGCACAGACATATCTAGGCTACTGATGTCACAGGGTGACCAACAGTGGAGAGCATTACCAACAAGAGCTTCGAAAGCAGCCAAAATGATTGACAGATGACCTTACTTTTGTTCTGAGTGACAACGTTCTTAGCCTGATGTACCAGTATAATATTATTGGACTGGTGTAACTTTTATTATATTAGTATTATTCATATGGTACATTTACAATATTCTAATAGCACAATGTTATTTATATGACATCATAACAGCATGATGTCACTTCTGTGTCTGTGCACTGCACCTCACGTAACATTATTCATGCAGCTGTTGTCCATGTACTGTATAATCTCGGTGTGCGTCATTCAATGAAGATGATTTGTCACTATAAGCTCAGTTCGGGTCTGATTGGTCATGTGCCCCTTTAGTCCTCCTCTTGGCATATGGCAACCCACGTCAAGCCTGATCTTAGCTTGCTTTGACCCCAGCGATGACCCCAACCGTTAAGGGCTGGAGGGTGAGCATTCTCCGTTCGCAGCTGTGCCTCGTGCCTTATGTAGTGCTGCCTGGATCCGGAAGTGTGTCCGTGATTCCATGGAGTAGTTTTTGTAATTTTGCCTGGCAATGAAATCATGGTTAATAGTGTTCAAGACTAACAAGGCAATGACTGGGTATATCATGTATCAAATAGGATAAAGGTATAAAATACACATCAGATCAAACAGAGTGTTTCAGGGTGAAATAT